AAGAAACCTAGACGAATCAGCCTTTAATAAGCTTGGTAATATGCTCATACCTCTTCCGTGTAAGTCTTTGCTCAGCAGTGAGCTCGTGATAATGATGATGATGATGATGATGATAATTGCGAAGCATTCTGCCAATACCAAGACATTGTGGAAACGCACATAGATCAACAAAAATGTTCAACAGATGGCATCACAAGTCGTGATGTAAGATTTGTCACGCCATCCATATGTGTCGCCACTACTTTATACCAAAAGCTTTTGTCATAAGATACACGTGGCACTCATAAGCTGAACCTAGAGTCCAGAAACCCATAAATACTACTACGAGGAAACATAAGACTCAATTAATTAACACATCCTTCTGTAAAACAGAGAAAAACAGGGAAAATGAGTGTAACAGATACGTATCTTCCGTCTTTTGGTATAAATCAGGAGTGGGCTTCGTCGCCTACGGGGGCTATTAGTCCGCGAATTCCCAAACGATAGCAACCTTGTATTTATGGACGCCAAAACTTAGATAAAAGAGGATAATGTCTTCTTGTATTATATGTAGTTCTGTTGTTGAAGATTTTCTATTATATGTATATAGGTATATCCATTCCCATGTTGCCATTTAAGTGTGGCCATGCTTTAGCACGTATGGGGGAGTGACACCACGGCCTTACAGAAAACCGGTGTGAAACAACCACAGCGTTGTGTTTCGCCGTGTAAGTGGGGTTACCGGAGGCCCAATCCTTCCCCTCCCCAATCCTTAAATCTCCAAAACCCCTAATCCCCAAAAGGTCGGCAACGCAGTCGTAACTTCTCTGTTGTTGCGGGTGTCCATGGGCGGCGCTGATTGCCATCTATCTGATGGCCCATTTGCTCGTTTGCCGACCTATAACAAAAATTAAATGTAGAGTAAGACAGTATAATACATCTACTAATTCGACCTTCAAAACATCTACATAGAATGCTGGCAACGGAATTGTCAGACCTTGAGTGTTGCAGATTTCCAGGGAGAAACTAATAATTTACCATGGGATGATTGGTCTACCTAGTAGCCTCCAATTTTCATAAAAACGTATTTTATTTCTATTTCTCTTTTACTTTTACTCTTCTGCAGGTGTTAAAAACCCGTGTGATCCGCCACACCTATCAAGCGTAGATACCGTGGCTCTTTTTGTATGTAATCACTTAATTAGCACTTCGTCACCTATAGAAAAAAGTTTTCTGTCTCTCTCCCTCTCTGTCTCTCTCTCTGCTGTCACCCCTAGGTTACAAAATACCAGATAAGATTTCCTAACACACTCCCATCCACCAGCCATATGAACTCCGCGTTTCAATCGACAACCCCTTATTCCCATTCAATTCATTTACTCAATGAGTATTCCCAAAATGAGTTTGATACAAACGCGTCATTTTCTATTTTCTCTGAACATTTTCAACAAGTAATGAGATTCTGAGGTACCTCAATTTATTCCCTCCGAATATCTGATTACAAATGGGTTGAGAGTTAAATGTCTTATTTCGGGTATTCTGCTTCAATTCCCTTAAATATTTCTCTATTAGACTATGACGTAATGACGCTTATAATTGATAGCCTCGTTGTTGTTGAATGTATAATTGGAATGTTTTAGATTGTGCTAATCAAACTTAATTAAAATATGTATAAGGGAATCGTGTCAAGTATAATTGGCAATAGGGTCAATCACGTGAAATTGCAAATGTATCTGGTGAAAATTGGCATGCGCTTTTACTTAATCCTACGAGGATTAAAACGTAGTAACCTTATGTTATGTTGCCATACATTCCAAACAAATCATTTTTAAACTAAAACAATTTTCCAGGGCCAATAAGGTATCGAAGCCTTGGCCTGCAGCAGGAGAAGGAACGTTTTAGTCAGCAAGAGTCTGACACTCCCTTTCGCCTCAGCCTGGGCGAGAAAAGAAATTTGATGATTCCCCTTCTTCAAAAAAGTGTTCATCTAAATATTGTATAATAATATGTTTTCGATAAACAAAAAACTCTCCAAATCATGGTACGCAATATAATATCATAAATGTAAATCACTTGTCGGCCTCAGCGATTACGGATGGAATAAGGGACATTGATATTTTTGATCTGTAAAAAGCAGTTTGTGATTTATTTTGGTAAAAAGAAACATTTTTTTTCATTCGTGTATCTTGCAACATTACACCGAACACTATTAGGTATCAACTTTGCCAAAAAGTGAAAATGTTGATTAAAATTAACCAAACTACATTTCTATTTATTATAACATATACAGAAATAACAACATACCTACAAGTATATATTTAGGTACAATAATGTATTTGTCTTAACCGTTAATCATGTTTATCCACTTATCGCAGACTAACAGCAATTACCACACAAACACAACTAAAATAACAAAACAAATCCACGAACCTCTCAAAAAGACATTTCCCATTCCCTTTTCAATTCAAACGAAACTAAAACACTTGGCGAAAACACAAGAGCTTGAAACAAACAAAATGTTGGAACAAACAGTGGCTAAATCCAATTTTATTCGGGCACGTAACTACGCTATCATTGGACGTCAGTCGCCAGAGCATTAGCCTTACACAACTGGGGACCAGCTCACCACCTCATGACAACTAGGATGTTTGAATTTGTGGAAGAGCTGTTTCTTTCTTTGTTTTCTTTTCTTCTTTTTCTTTTGTTGTTTGTTCTTCATTAGGGGTGTTGGTTGAGAGTTGAATGATTTATTAATAACAAAAAAAAATCGATGTATTATTAAACATATTAACATACAAAAACTGGTTTCTTATCGATTTATATATATGTTGCGGCCAGTCTGTTTAACTAGACTAGCCATTACGCAGGAGATATGTGGAGATATTTGCCCAAGTGTGTGCGTAAACGCAAGTGCATGCTTATTCTTTTACTCGCTGAATTCAAAGCAACCATAGCCCGACACGTCCCGAAATAGGTCAGGCACAGTATTAACGGCTTTAAAGGCGTACGAGGTAAAAGATGGTCATTGTACAAAGAAAAACCCATGAGCATTTTTCGAAACAATTTTATTATATACAAACGAGTTCAAATATGAAAATTGTTTTATATTTATGTCATACGATTTTGCCACATCCACTCAATTATATATATTTGAACCTCTATGTAAGATAAAGTTAGAAACCGCAGCTGACACTAAGCTCCGATCCGGAGAACTCGTCTAAATTGATCTACCTGTTGATTCGGATCCCTCGCCGTCTTATGTCAGATTTGTGCGATACACTCTTGTGTGGAATTCATTACTCAGATGCCTGTTGCTTTAAAATATATTATTATCATATTTTTTTCACATATTACATTTATAGCAAAGATGTTAATAGTTAGTGTTTTAAAAACATTAATTTAGCTTGGCTAAAAATTATTTAAATGAAACATTACATCTTACCTGAAAACACACGACACCTAAAATACGTATGTTATCGTCAATATCAGCCTATAAGTGCCTGCCCTGCTAAGTTGTGGTCGTTTCTTTTACGAAGAAAATTTGAGCCTTTATCACCACACTTGCTCAAGGCGGATTGGTGTTTTCAAACTTGCTAAATTTAACTGTACAAAACTAAGCTTTATAAAATTGGAGTCGGAAATTATGTCCAGGTTACGACGTTTTCCTTCAGAGTTTTGTCAGTGCAGTCTAAATCAACTTTGAGTAGATATATCTCGAAAAATCACACGGGGACTTCCTAGGTTTTGAACCCGCAAGAGTGAAGCTTAACCATCACGTTGGCAACTACAACAGCCAAATAAAAATACTAAGCTTTAGGTATCAATGTCTAACCTAAAGATAATTAATGTGTGCATATTGCAAAAATAATGTAAAATGAAATTTATTCTGATAAAATTCATAGCTGACGCGCTCACAAGAGAAACAATCTCAGAAACGAGTTACTTTCAAAGAACCAACAGTACAAAAATCCTTTTCGTATATAAGGACCAAGATTTGGTCCTTCGAATGTTCAAAGCTCAATCTGCTATCATCTTAGATATAATCTGTTTCTCATTATATTTAGTAACACAGATCTTACCTTTCCGTAAGGACCGGGGGAGCTTAATTAAAATTGTAAATGTATACTAGAGAAAATGAGACAGGTACTCCGGTCCTAGCGGGCGTAAGGTTGCCTTTTCTTTCACATAACTCTTATGAAATGATGTCTTGGAAATTCTAAATGGATTTTGTAAAATGAAATTCTATTGAAAAGAATGTTATTTTTCCATAACTTTATGCATAAATTAATTATGACTGCACGGTTGGCGCGGTGGCTGGTCAACTGGCTGCTGCGCAACGTGCCGCGGGTTCGATTGCCGCACGGAACAACTCTTTTTGTAATCCACAGATTGTTCACACTCACGACACATGCTAGCACGTTTTATTAAAAACAAAACCTTTTTTGCAAGTATCATTTACTGTATTAAGAGTAGAACATTAATACAATTCGTTTGCCGATTTGTGATTCAAAGAATAATAAAAAATATATAAATCGCAATTAATATTTGACCTATGTTTAAAGAGTACTTAGATAAAAAAAATATATTCGGATATACTAGTCGGAAACGCTAAAGTTTAGACACTCTGCAGTTAAGAATCACAAATTATAATTACCTTATTTCTTACTGTTACACGCTAAACCACGGAATAATAATGCAAACTCTTGTAAATGTTTATTTATGTAAGGAAATCATATAATTAGTTCCCTCGACTCGAAGGACCAAAATCTGGTCACTTTAATTAGAATATTTGATGGCTTTATTCAATGAGCGCTGCACACTACTAAACTTGAAAAGGTTAAGAGTAATTTAATTTTCAATGCAAATGAGGTTTCTTGTCAATTTTTAAATTTGAATTGAAAAGGTCAAAGTCATTTAGATTATATTTTGTAAGAAATGTATACCAATTATAATACTGAATTACACATGCCACGTTCACTGAATGTGACATAGACTAATAGACCACTTTTTTGTTGTTTCAGGATGCTGGGCGGCGTGGGTGGGCGGCACGCGTCCGTGCGCCGGCGCGGCAGCTCCCCGGGCGTGCGCCGATATGCGGCTGGCGCGGCCGCCGCCGACGATTCGCCGCCGGCGTCGCCACGGCCCATGCGTCGCCGGCGAGCCGCACTCGCTGCGCAGGACCACAAAACATGCGCGCTTATACATACCAGACTCAAGTTGGGCGACATTATGTAAGTGAAATTATTTCATTTAGATTCGAAAGAAAAATAGATTTACCTAATTAGGAAATCAGTAATAGGTAATGACAATCAACGAGCTATATACCTCTCTTTTTTACAGTTTCCGCAAACCTTTGTAATAACTGAAAGTTTCAGAAAAAGTAATAAAGAAAGTAATATGTAATAAAAACGAGACTAGGCGATGTCTTCACATAGGACACAGATGTCCGCTTCGCGATTAGTAGGTTAAAATAAGTAAAATACCTATCTAATTAAAAGAACAATGACAATTTACATTATTTTTTCTTCAAGTCTTATCGCCCTTATACGAGTACTCTGATTGTAAATGACCATAATAGCTTAGAATACAATCTATCTCATGCCTTCATATAGGGCAGTAAATAAAATGCCGTGGAAAGTTGGACCGTTGGACGACATTAGGAAAATGGACTATGTAGTTTTTTCTTAGGTACGTACGTACTACTCATGGCACGTACGGAGAACTCTTTAGAAAAGTACTTTTGCTTATAAAATCAAACACAAATCTCACCCAGTAGTATGTCTTGTTAACATAAACATCTGAAATTCCTATCCTCTCTTTTCACTGCATTTTCGAGATAAAATTTGTTTAGGCCTCAACGAGCAAATAATATTTTTAGACAAGGGCCCTGTCTAAAAATATTGTTGTTAAAACAAAATATTTATCGCTCAATATTTTCGTAAAGATTTTTGTGTTTCTTTTTATAAAAGTTAAAAATAGAAATGTCTTCCAAGTAATTTTTTACTTAAATGACACGAAGTGTACGTTTATATTTTGAGGTAATGGTCGAATTCGGAGTCATTTACCTAATAGCAACTACCTATTTATTCAGTCTTTAGCTATAGGTTTTAGAAAAAAATCATTACTAAAAAAAGTTGAGTAATCATTAAACATCTCTGAGTACGGCGGCAGCAAAAATATTTTTCTTAAGTTGCCAAGACTTGATTTACAAAGTCTAATTGTAGTGCGAGGCAAACCGTATCTGTCTGTTTTTAAGAAATGTGTTGTAAGTCACCAAATACACCAATCAATATTTAAAGTCAATTGTACAGTAATACATGATGGAAGCTAGTATATTTTTAGAAAATGAGAAATTGTTCCTTAATTTTGAACGGGGCTTTTTAACGATAACGTTTCTGTTTTTTCCCAAACTAGTGTGATTTTAACAAACTTCGCAAGCATACAAAAATAATATTAATAATACCTACATTCATACGAGTCATAAGTCGAGATATAACAGTGTAAATCTTTTGAAAATTTGTCTAATTTTAAAAATTTATATAATTTATTTAGACTGAATTAGGGGTAGTATCGTGCGATTCGGTTTCAGACAAGTTTCCAAGTTATTTATTTTCATTTAATGCCAAGCGACCTCTTACGGTTCACAGTAAAAGCTCTTGAAACATAGGACAGGTAGCGCTTCTGTAGTAAACTCACAAGCGAGAAATGTTGGAACTAAACGTCAACTGTGATACCAGCGCACTCTGTTAGTAGTAACTTAAACCATACTGTAAAATCAAATGGTAACGCCATCTATCGCGAGGGAGTTGTTACGAGAAAATATGGACTACGTTAATCCGTATTGCAACACCAACGCCACCGTGCGGGAAAAGTCAGAACTTAAGAGACTAGCGCCATCAAAACACTTGGGGTTATAAGGAAACTTTTTAGGTTAGGTACCTTATTTTCAACACGTTTACAGAGGGCAGTTTTGAAATTTAGTTTGATCCTCCAAAAACCTAGATGTCGCTACAGGTTGAAAATAAATGGAATAGGGGTTGAAGTTCTTTGACTCGCTCTTGGCGTACTTGGCCTAATTTCGTATCATGAAGAAACGTGTAAGACGGGTTTTTCATAAAGATAATTTCGATTTACACGGAAAACCTGTAAGGTGGTCTTAGGCAGTTAGGCAGAATAATATTTATTTGAGTAGGTAAGGTTTGTTTAAAGAAATTTAGATACGGTTTCAAGAAATCTAGTCTACAAAAATCCGAATCAGCAGTGCCCAAATACCGCAACTCTGACAAAGGCCTACTTGTCGAGGTATTTCATTCGATGCTATCGATTGGAAATTCAATTTCCATTCGGAGTCCAAAACAGAAGACGGTCGGATTCAATTCTGTAATAATGGAGTCTCGTGAAGTCGTCCGTTCACCACGTTCGGCCAGTGTAAATGGAGCAGACTCGCTTCCTGCCTCCACGTGGCGAGATGCCATTATTGATTTCCGGCGCGAGAACGAGACAGCGCCATACCACAATTTGTTGCACTATTTTCCGTCCCACTCTTTCGCCAATATATGACCTATTTTTATGCCGCTTTCCCTATATTAATACAGCCTAAGTAATTAGGTGAAAAGTTCGGTTGGCGCGATGTAATCTAAACAGTGGTTCGGTTATAATGATGTGTTTGTTTTTTTCTGTATTTAGTTTATGTGTTACGGTTCGACTGCCGTACTTACTGTTTCGCGACATTATGAGCGGAATAGAACCTTTCCGAATTCGCTCGAAATTTCAGATTGAATAATGGTGAGGTTAACAATTTTCTTTCGTGTTTTACTGTCGCCTCATATACAAATGGCGAATTCATTGATTTATTTATATTTTATTTATATATACTTTATTGCACACATACACCAAGTAGCAATACATTGGATACTATGACCGAATGTTGTGATTACAATGGGCGGTCTTATCACGCAAGGTGATTTCTATTTAACTATGATTATTATTTAAGTATATCTATCTATAATGATTTAAAACAAATAGAGTTTATTTTGTATTTACTATGCAATTAAATTTACTTTTAACGAAAACTCGTTAATGACTTACAAAAATCACCAGTCCTCAGTAATCACCAGAATGAGCAACAATTGTCGAGTGTACAGTAAATCAAGGGATTACCGGTGGCTAGCGGTTCGACACACCTGCACCACACCGCTCGCACGAATAAATACCAAGGATTAGCACCGCGTTAATTGAACTTATTTTATACGTTATACTTAATGTAAAATTATATACATTCTGTATAATACATTTTCTTTTTATTATACATACAGGATTTTTTTAATGATTTTGTACAGATTGGAGGATGCCTGCTGTATTATTTACACAGAACAGCCATCTGCTGATGACTTTGATGATGATGTTGTCTTTATTATGAAGGTAAAACCAGATGTTGCGCTAGTGATTAAATTCTGAGTTAGTATGAAAAGATTTCGTTCCTATTTGTGAAGTTGCTAACCGATGTGTTTATGTGAAGTTATTGGAATGCGACTCTGAAGACCGATTTCACAATTTCTAAATTACCGTGAGGTACTAGATCAATTTGAATATGGAACGTAATTTTTTTGAATTGTAGGCTAGATAAGTTTATCAGAATCTTATAGGATGGTGGTGAAAAGACTCAAACAACAAACATTTCACTTAAAGAGATAGATTCACAGAAACCATGGTAACAAAACAAAAGAACATTTTTATTGAATTCCCAACAGACCGGCAACGCACTTGTAACTCCTTGGTGTTGTCGAAGGGCGATGCCGGTTGCTTACCATCAGATAACCAGGCAAATTGTTCACTGATCTATTCCAAAATAAAGCAATCGTAAAAATCTATATTATTTTTACAATCAGCAAATATTTTTAGGTCAAACATAAAATGAATGTTTTCGAACAATGCAACTACATCACTGCTGGGGCATTATCCGAGTTTTTATTACACCGTGTACAGTTCGCACACTTTATTTATGAATGCACCGAAGTAAATATCCACATAAAAAGTAATCACTTTTATGACTTAATCATTTGTTTATTATGTATGTTTACTGCAATATATTTTAATTTTATTGGATTATGAGTTCACTATTAAAATATAAGCGTGGACTTTATGGGATGGATAGTTTTTCTGTATTATACGTTTACTAAAATCGATTTATTTATTTGGTTCAAAGGATTGACAACGATTAAAAATACTGTTACTCTACTAAGAGAGAGTCGAGGTTGTGAGTGACAGCGCAAAAATGTACAGCGAACCCAGCCAGGACCTGGAGAGAGGATGGGTTGATTTTTAGTCAGTAAGAATCTGACTCTCCCTCTTGCACCACAAACGGGAAGATGAAAGAGTGTGTAATAAAAGAAACATACTTATATTAAAACCTACCTTCATTATAAAATGCCAGTGGATACAAAATTACGCACCAACTTCAAAGACTTAGAGTATCACTCCATCAAAAGGCTCATTAAAATTTAATTAACAAAAAAGGTTAGAACGAAAAAAAAGAAAAACTTAAGCAAAACAAAAGATAGTATCGCGAATGTTGTCACAAATCAGGAGGACCGTAAATGAGTGCAATACTTTACCGGGAGGCGATAACGAAAGAGTTTCACAAGAAAACGGAACTCCGAATAATTGAATCTCGAGAAACAATGTGACAACCCTGAATTGTAATAGGGTTACAGCATGAGTAATTTAATTTAAGAATTCCGTCTTTGATATTAGTTAAATGAAAATATATTAATCAGTACCCGATCGATACCAAAATTTCATAATAAAAGATACGTTTTGTTTCCAATTTTCTTATAAAATGTTACATTAATAGTTTTAGATGGTTAAAAAACAATTTTGTAGTTCACTATTTAGCCACGCAGACACATGCCTCATAACCAATATCTATGTTACGTCACTTTTAAAGATATAATTAAAAAAAAACTAGCAAAACATAAAATACTGTTTTTTTTAAAGATAACTAAAACACTAAAAACTGCTCTACTGCTCATACTGTCTAGCCTTCTCCACATATACACACGCTTCACGAGAACTACGCACGTTACCGTCAATAAATATTGTAACATGTTGTAATAAACAAGTTTAAGAATGAATAACTTCCTACAAGTGCAAATAATATCTTTTGGTTGCTTTTTCATAAATCCGGCTCAAAGGACCAGGAAAGGACCAACCAAATTGTATGACAGTCATTTGAAACAAAGAAGTAAAATAATTTAGTAATTACACGTGCGATAAATATATTTTAATTTATTTTTTGATTATACAGATTTTGCATAACATTCAAATTAACTAAAACAATATCTTTAGTAATAGCTTGTTTCATAAGGGTGTAAAAATAGACATAAATATTCATGTGGTTTTGAGTTTTGAAACTAACCTACATGTTGTGTAAGTGTGGGAGAGCCAAGCTTCGGCACGAATGGGTCGGCTCGACTGGAGTGATACCACGGCCTCACAGAATACCGACGTGAAACAACCACAGCGTTGTGTTTTGCCGTATGAGTGAGGTAACCGGAGGGAGGGGAAGGACCAATCCCTCACAATCCCTAAATCTCCAAAACCCTAATCCTTAAAAGCTCGGCAACGCACTCGTTACTGCTACGTTGCGGGTGTCTATGGGCGGTGCTGACGACTTACCATCAGGTAATCAGTCTGCTCGTTTGCCGACCTATTCCAGAAAAAAAATTGTCTTGATTTCTCAAAGACTATACAGGCCAGGACATAGCCATGAATTGTCAAATTAACAACAATGAGCTTATAAGAAAACTAAAATGTATTTAAGCATATTAAAAATATTGGTTGACTTTAATGTTCTAAGAGTACAATAAACTGCCACGGCGGTGTTTTAAACAAAAAAATTACTTGAAATTTTGCTGTTTTTAGAAAAGGAGCTAGTACAAATGTATTAACTACCTACATTGCATGTTTCAGCAAGCGCTCGTAAAGCTCGCATAGGAATTTTAATTACTACAAACTGTTAGTTCCTTGTATTTATTTTTGTTTTCATTGACATGCGAATGTACTTGGAAACATGTTTAACTTAGGTTATAGAATAAAATTCATTAAAATACCAAATAAATACCACAAAAATGTTCTTTGACACACACCACACATAAATTTTTTTAGATACCTTGCTAAAAATAATAATTGGACAATGAAAAAAATTAAGTTGCTTAGAACATTAAATACCGTCTCTAAAAGACAAAATAATAATGAATCACAAAGGAAATCGTCTACAACATAAAATTGACGTACATTCAAATATGTACACAATTCAAAAACTGACCTACCATCCCACTTGTCCCGTATTCATTGGGTCATGCAAAAACAAGCACAAACTCCTACCCCAAAAAGTACTGCACTATAAAGGCCCACGTCAACATGGCCAAAAAACCTACCCCTTTAATTTATGGTAGCGGTAGCTTTGTGTACACGACGTGTGGGAAATTATTTCCCCGTTCCCCGGTCGCAGTGTACAATGATGTTCGTGGTCTTACAGTGCAGCCGCAGCCCAATGTAAAGTTTTCTTGTTTTTGGTTTAGTTTGAATTTTTATACTTGCTCTAGCTTTAAGTATAACGTGACATAATTAATGTTTGCCGCTTTAATATACTGGTAATACCTGTACAAGTGTGATATCTGTTGTTATCTCTGATACCTAGACTACCTATTTTCCAATTCAATACAAATAAATAATTGTAGATGAAAACCGCATTTTATAGCACTAGGGAGTAAAAAGAACTTCTTTAAAGTGTAGTACAGCCTAGGCATACGAAAAATAACAGACAGTACTATACTGTGTAGCCTTTAAAACTGTCGGAACTCAATCGTGGTCCTATGAATCGAACAACCACTAACCAATCGCATTCGCGCTCACAAGGACCAAAAATCACATTGAACCAATTACGAGTGTGTAACATTTAATTAGCACAAAATTCAATTTCTCAGTACATTGACTACGCTATGTAAAGTGTCAGGACTCTAGCAGAGTTCAAAGGAGCGTTCAATGCAAATGGGTTGCACTCACAGCGGAGTGAATGAGTAATGTAAATGCTTAGAAAGTGTAGCGCAGGGGAGCGAAGAGGTTTCTTGTGAGTCAAATTAAACTACGTATATGCAGCTCCAGGCTTAAAGCGTAAATATGTGCATATTGTGGAACATTACGTTTTTCTCTAGGGAAATGTGAAACATTTTTGTCGGTTTTTAGTGCAAGACGTATAGAAAGAGCCTGAACTTAACAATGTAGATTTTTAGTATTTTACGCAGGTAGTTCTTAAAAGTTAATGCTGGGACCTGAATTCCAAAAATCGGTTTCGTCGCAGATGGTTCTTCAATGATTTAATTAGACATACTTATTTTTTAAGTTAAAATATTACGCACCAGCTGGTGAGCCGTCCCTGAAGACTATGGTGGCGGGAGCTTTGGGCTCTCTAAGCAGCTGACCATTTTCGTATCTTTAGGAAAGCTTTCAGCGGCGGTAACTTCTCGCGCACAGCTTTGGTTTAGACCATGGCGCAGAACGAAGATAACTAGGATGCGGTCCTCGCTTTCTATCGTAAGGAGAAGTAACGGAGTAGTTTAAGTCAGTAAGAATCTGATACTACCTGCGCCTCAACGAAGACATGGAGTTGTTCGATGATCTTCCCTCCTCAAAAACAAGTCCACCTCTGATCCATATCACAGACTCAGCAAACTTAGTTATTCATCGACACAATCGCAATACCATAACAATTATAAATTAAGCAAGTAAGCAAATAAGCTCAAGAATTCTTTAATACTTTACAAAAGTCAAGTCAACAATTTTTTTATAACAAATATAGCCCCACTCTAGGATTTTCTCCTATGTCGGGGGTGCGTTTCCAAACATACAATTTCACGTGCACATGACACCCAGACCCGGAGCAACAATTTGTAAATCACCCAAAGAGTTGTTCCGTGCGGGAATTTACCGCGACACGTTGCACAGCAGCCAGTTGCCCGGCCACCGCACCAACCGTGCAGTCAAATAAATTCAATTTGACTGCACGTTGCACTTTTTTGTAATCCATACAGCACTAGCCAATCATTAAGAAGGCGTAGTACGCCTTCTAAATGAAAGGTAGATAAGGTTGCAATAGAGTTCGAAGATGAATATGGGATGCACTTAACTTCAAAACTCGTTTACGTATTGTTCGCATTGGCTTACTTTAAAACACGTACAATAATTGTCATGTAGGCTTATTTTTTATTTTTTGTTGCTTATTAAGCAAATAGTTACGTTATTCTCAGTGTTAGAAGGAAATCTATTCAGTTTATACATATGAAGGCGATATATCAAATACTAGAAGTTATAGTTGTATAGAAATAAAAAAAATTCTACAGTTATGTGGTAATTACGTTCTTTATTCAACTTTATACAGTTTAAATTATGTTGTGCGT